GGCAATTCGGCGGCGGGGGGGGTCCTTCCGCGCTCCGGGTCTTTGGCGGCAATTCTGCGGTGGGTCCTTCACTCGCTCCGGGACCCGCTGCCAAAGTGCCCCGAAGACCGGGAGCGCAGAAGGACACCCCCCGCCGCAGAATTGCCAACGACGACTGGGAGCACGGAAGTACCCCGGCCTAGGGTGCCAAAAACCCTGGCGCCGCTCCTGGTGAGGGCACGCCTAGGCAGGGAACACAGTTCAGTACTTTACAAATCAAGCAGAGGAAGTAGTGCTTAGTGCTGAGCAGAGCTGGGCCTCCCCTCCGCCCCATCGTCAAGGGCTCTGCATGTCTCCCCTCTGGCTGTTTGGTAGTGAATTCCCAGTGCTGGCAGAGAGGGCTAAGGCAGCCCTACCGAAATAACGGACAGCGGCACCAGCTGCAGCTCCCTAGTTAAGGCTGGGCTGAGTTTTGCACTTAAGGCAGGAGTTCAGCCTATCTGTTATGTGTGAGAAACGCAGTGCATCCTCCCCAAACTCACCGCATTGACGCATCAGGCCCAGAGTGACTGGTCTGAGGGCATACAAGAAAAGCTGTTAACTGCACCAGGCATTCGTGCTGAGTGTAGAAGGGGTTCTTTATGAAAGGCAGTGCCCCTCAGATCTTGCTTTGGCCTTATCTCTCTTCGTAACACACTCACCAAACCGTCTGTACGATCAGCACTCGCTGGAGCCTCGCACCAGGCCTAAAAGGGGAGAAATGTTTCTAGGGTTAATGGCAATGTTTCCTGGTGTTCTTCAGAAATAAGAGTTTCTCTGTCCACAGAGGGCGAAGAACAATATTCTACTGCAGAGATGTTCCCAGCGGCCTGCCCCCTTCTCAATGGGACTCAGGCCACCCCAGGGTTCCCTCCACTCCTGCCCACGGACCAGCACCAACCAGTCCAGCACCGACCAGACTTTTAAAGGCCCGGGCATTCTGGTCAAAAACCGGATGCCTGGCAGCCCTAGTGCAGGGGCCACTTGCTTTCCTGAGAGCAGCTTGGCTTCAGTCTCATGGGAACAATAGGAATTGGCAGCCATTTTGAAAAGGCGTCTTAGTGGTGGCACTGTATGGCCTCAGACCAGGGGTGGGCAAACTATGGCCCGGGGGCCACATCCTTCAGATGTTTTAATCTGGCCCTCGAGCTCCTGCCGGGGAGCAGGGTCCGGGGCTTGCCCCATGCCACGTCTGCCGTGGTTCCACACGGCTCCCGGAAGAAACAGCATGTCCCCCCTCCAGCTCCTACGTGTAGGGGTAGCCAGGGTGCTCCGCACACTGCTCCCACCACAAGCGCTGCCCCCACAGCTCCCATTGGCTGGCAACTGCGGCCAATGGGAGCTGCAGGGGCCGCGCCTGTGGATGGGGCAGTGCACAGAGCTGCCTGACCACACCTTCGCATAGGAGCTGGAGGGGGGACATGCCGCTGCTTCTGGGAGCTGCCTGAGGTAAGCGCCGCCCAGAGCCTGCCCCCCTCCAGCACCCCAACCCCCTGCCCCAGCCCTGATTCCCATCCCGCCCTCCAAAACCCTTGGTCCCACACCCGCAGCTGGAGCCCTCACCCCCTTGCACCCCAATTCCCTGCCCCAGGCCGAAGCCCCCTCCTGCACCCTGAACTCCTCATTTCTGGCCCCACCCCAGAACCCGCACCCCCAGCCTGAGCCCTCACCCCCCCCCCCCGCACTCCAACCCCCAATTTTGTGAGCATTCATGGCCCACCATACAATTTCCATACCCAGATGTGGCCCTCGGGCCAAAAAGTTTGCCCACCCCGGCCTCAGACCTATTGAAAACAATGGGAGACAGTGGCCATTTTGAAAGAGGGCATTTCTTCAGTTCTCTAAAGGTTCTAAAGGAGACTATTTTATGCTGACAGATAAACTTTCAGCTATGAAAAATGACAGCAAAAGCAGTCATTAGTGCAAACTGTTTCCTTTCAAAAGCTACCTGTTGCAGCAGGTTGCTCAACAGAATGTGCAAGCGGTAGGAGGAAACTGGGGTGCGGGGTGAGGTGCACACAAACCCAGGAGAATGTGGAGGGGAAAACTGGTGTAGGGGTGTAGCTGGGGGAATGTGGTGTGGGAGTTGTGGGTGCACAGAGGCATGTGGAGGACAGGATGCAAGGAGAACCTCAGATGAGCAGGAAGGAGGAAAGTTGCACATTCTGGCTGCTTTACGCTGTTAGGGCAAAGCAAAGCAGCTGTAAACCTAGGGTTGCCAGGTGTCTGGTTTTCAACCGGAAAGTCCTGTACACCTGTACAGTGTCCAGTCACGTGTACTCATCACCGGACACCAAAAGTCCAGTTACCACAGGTGGGGGCGCCAAGGGAGGAGGCGCTGGGTCATCAACCCACGCCAGCCCCTGCTCAGCTGGCATTGCCTCCTACCTGCAACTCGTGGGCAGGCAGGTTCCCATCCTAGCCCCCAGAGCAGTGGGAGCCCAGTGGGAGCCCAGCTGGAGGGAGGTGGACAGGATTGAGTGAGGAGGAAGGGTGAGGGGGAAGAGCAGTGAGTGACAGGTGCAGGGCCTCGGGGAAGAGATAGGGAGATTCCAGCTCTCCTCCAGTAGTGTCCGGTTTTCAGACATTAGAAAGTTGGCAACCCCCTTGTGTAGCTGGCCTGCATGCTCCGGGTGTGTCAGGCTGTCCTAGAGCGTGGTAAAGCAGCCAGAGTGTCCTGGCAAATCTGGCCCTAAAGGTTCAGATAAAACAACGATTGCAGGCTGTTACTCACTATGAATATCGCATGGGAAGATGTTTGCTGGGTTTCCTGTTTGCTGTTCATCTGTAACATTTTTAATTAAGATAAAAAAGGAAATGACACTGAGACAGATGGCATTTAGGTTGAGAGTGTGTCTCAGTAACTTAAGGTAAAATATACAGCAGGGAAGTTGTAATTATCCCAAATCCAAGTGTTAAAAACATGGAAATTCAGAATTAAGGTTACACTTGAAAGACACCCATACATGCTAAGGTCTGGAAATGCACATTCAGGGCAACCACAGACCTTAACTCTGCCCAGTAGTGATGGTGTGAGAGAATAAATTAATGTGTTGCTTGGTCAGTTTAATATAATCTGGGAATAGAAACACTACAATCGTCCTGGCCTGGTGCTCGGTACTGTCACTGCAGGGCGCAGCTCAGGCCATGTGGGTGCCCTGCTGACGCAGTAATCGGATCACTGATCCAAGTCACTGCAGCAGTCCCATGATGTCCGGCCTGGGCCATCCCAGGGGCACAGTCTATTCCATTCACTCCTCCCTCACATTCGTATGCAAGCATCACCTTGGCAGAGCCTAGGGAAAGACAGGCCCCTCCCTGCTCTGGGACAGGCAGGCTCTGGGGCTGAGCAGCTCACAACTGAGTGCAGGGTGCTGGGGAATGGGACTCGTCATTGTCCACGCCCTGCTTTGGGACATATTCAGCCCAAACTCCCAACAGATGCTCTCACCCGGCTCTCTCCTTGCCATTCATGCTGCCAGGACTCTTCATCCACTGAGTCGCTGGACTCTCTCCAGCTCAATCCCTTTGTGCTAATTCCTGCCCACTTTTCCAGTTTTGCCTTCTACTTCCTGATTATTTCACACCTTCCTTCACGCTGCCCGCTATGCAAGGAGCAGCCTCCCATGCCTGTGCACCATGTGCCCTGCAGCCCTCATCTGCTGCCGGAGGCCTTCCAGCAGCGCGGGCCACCACATCTCCCGGATGGGTTACGTCCTACTCTGTAATGTCAGCTTCTGCCTGCAGGGCGAGAACTCCTTGGCCCAGGCCTGTAACTGATTACACATTGCACACTGCCTGCTGCTATGTTAGTTCTAAAGGAACATCCGACATTCAGACCCTCCTAGACTCATAGAATATCAGGGTTGGAAGGGACCTCAGGAGGTATCTAGTCCAACCCCCTGCTCAAAGCAGGACCAATCCCCAACTAAATCATCCCAGCCAGGGCTTTGTCAATCCGGGCCTTAAAAACCTCCAAGGAAGGAGATTCCACCACCTCCCTAGGTAACGCATTCCAGCGCTTCACCACCCTCCTAGTGAAATAGCGTTTCCTAATATCCAACCTAGACCTCCCGCACTGCAACTTGAGACCATTGCTCCTTGTTCTGTCATCTGCCACCACTGAACAGCCGAGCTCCATCCTCTTTGGAACCCCCCTTCAGGTAGTTGAAAGCAGCTATCAAATCCCCCCTCATTCTTCTCTTCTGGAGACTAAACAATCCCAGTTCCGTCAGCTTCTCCTCATAAGTCATGTGCTCCAGACCCCTAATCATTTTTGTTGCCCTCTGCTGGACTCTTTCCAATTTTTCCACATCCTTCTTGTAGTGTGGGGCCCAAAACTGGACACAGTATTCCAGATGAGGCCTCACCAATGCCGAATAGAGGGGAATGATCACATCCCTCGATCTGCTGGCAATGCCCCTACTTATACAGCCCAAAATGCTGTTAGCCTTCTTGGCAACAAGAGCACACTATTGACTCATATCCAGCGTCTCGTCCACTGCGACCCCTAGGTCCTTTTCTGCAGAACTGCTACCTAGCCATTCGGTCCCTAGTCTGTAGCA